AGGACAGCAGTGAGATGTCCTGGCACCAGCTCCATGGAGGGAAGGTGGATTCCAGGTCTAGGTCAGGAAATGCTCAGCCTTGGGGCATCTTGTGCCAGGAAACAGATACCAAAGAATGGGGTCACTGCAAAAAGACGCAGAGTCCCCTCTGCCTGAGATAGGGCAAACTGGGTGTCCAAAAGATTAATGAATGTGTTTGATACATTGAATGTAAGAAGGATAGCCGTTCCGAGTGATAGCAAGGGGCAGGAGGATAAAGAGCAAGAGAAAAATACACTGGAAAGAGCGGCAACTCCCCACTCTGAAAATTGGCAATTAAAAGAAAGAACTAAGCATTTGTCCCTTCCTTCCTGTGTCAATTGGATTTCAGGGTTACCAGATTTTCCTAGTTAATGAGGAAAAATTCTTCTTGATAAAGGACTTCGAATTAAGAAATGAGAAAGGAATGAGAGTTAGAAAATCACCATTTTGTAACCCCTAAGGAAATTCTAAAGTCAAACAATTATCTCTGCATAAAACTATTAGTGAAAGGCTGATGGAGAATTTGCAGTGGGAAGATCAGGTCTCACCTCCGGCAGCCCCCAATCAGCCTCCGAGCAGCTGAGTGGGACAAGGAGACCTCGTGTCCCAGAGAAGAAACACAGCGAGCCGCACATGTTTGCACTCCTAGAAGTGGAACCTAAATCTGAACAAGTTTCCAGACCAACATTCTTTCGTAGAGGAATAGTACTAAAGAAATCAAACAGAAATCCAGAAGATGGGAGGTTCCGCCAGAAAATTCATCCAACACCTCAGTGATATTTTAAGTTGGAGTGAGAGGATTGCTTCTTGAGCAATACAGCAACCAAATGTAGTTTATGGACCTTCTTCCTGGTGTTAAAAAAAAGGACTTTCCATTTCAGCCCCATGGCCCAATTTGTCCCTAACCTGGTTTATGCTGCTGTGAGTCACTGGAAACCTTGATTAAGTGATCACATTTTGGAATGAAGCCAAGGCTGAACTAATTCCTCCAACCTCTGCTGAGTTCCCAATGGCTATTCAGAGCTTGAAAAAACTAGACAATAGTGCCTGGTAGGTTGGGGCCTCTCTGGTGGCCTAAGGGTTATGTCTCAGCAGCTTCAAGACCCGATTGCAATCCCCAGCCAGGGAGGTGACCCACAGGGTGCAGCAGACCTCTCCTGTCCCGCCCCCGGTCCCCTCAGCAGTGTAGTTCAATATATCTGTCTGTTCTTCTCCTGCTCTGTCTCTGGTGAATCCTCTCATCCCCCATAAGTAAAATAAATCGTAAGTATGTATATAAAAGGACACTTAGAAAAAAATGTATCGAGGTAACATAGGTTTACAGCACTGTATGTGTTGCAGAGGTATAGGTCACCCCTCCCAGGTGTATGGTACCATAAAAGGACATTTTTGAGGCAAGCAGGGAAATTCAAATATAGAGCACATATTAGGTGATTTTTTAAAAGAATGATTTATTTATTTATTTATTAAGATTTATTTATTTGTGCATACAGAGCTGGGGTATAGGCCAGAGGCGCAGGGGCGGTGAGAGGCTTCACCAGAGACAGAGTGGGGAGCAGAACAGGCAGATCGACGAAGTACACTGCTGAGGGGAGCCGCGGCGGGCCAGGAGAGGTCTGCCACGCCATGTGGTCACCTCCGGGGCAGGCGGGAATCGAACTCATGCGGAAGCGACTTCAGATTCTCAGTGCTGCGCTTTAACCAGCTGTGCCACCAGGGAGGGCCTTATCTATTTTTAAAGATTTGTTTATTCATGCATACAAGGACTGGGGCACAGGCCAGAGGTGCAGGGGCGGTGAGAGGCTTCACCAGAGACAGAGTGGGGAGCAGAACAGGCCGATGGAGGAAGCACACTGTTGAGGGCACAGGGGGCGGGTCAGGAGAGGTCTGCTGCGCCACGTGGGTCACCCCCCTGGCGGGGATCGAACTTGCCTCACAGCACCGTGCTGGAAGTTGGGCCACCAGGGAGGGCCAACATTCACATTTTAAAGAGTGCACATAGGCAGGTAAGGAAGGAATGAGATGATGCCTGGGATTTCTTTAAAGTGCCTCAGTGACGGACAGGGGAGAGAGCTTTCAACCGAGGCGAGGCCCAGGTGCCTGCCCACTGGGCCTGGTGAGAAGGCAGCAGCGGGAAGGCAGAAGACTAGGGCCCGGCCTTGAAGGAAAGCCCCTGTATTGGGAATTGTGAGAGGGCGCTGGGGGGAACCCCATGTGGGGCGATGGCGAGGGCCACCCTGGGGAGGCTGCTTTTGTGCCAGGCAGCTGCCCTGGGGTTGAGGAAAGGGGGTGCTCCCAGCTATGGGATCCTGGGCTCGGGTTTGCCGGGTCGGCTGACTTTCCTTGCGTCTTCCCCATGTTGCCAGGGAGCCATCCCGTGCTCCTGCTTCGGGCACACGGTCCTGCCTCACGGAGCTGACGCTCCAGTGCAGATGCAATAAAACCAAGCAAAGGGAAGCAGGCCCGGCAGGCCAGGGCCTGCAGACAGAGCATCAGGAATCCCGGCATCTCCCAATCTCCCAGCTGCTGCTCTACAAGGGATGGGAGCATGTCGGCTTCTGAAGCACGGGCAGAGCTACAGCTTTTGTCTCCTGGTGAGGGGCAGATGCCCAGGCAAGGTGACAGGTCAGCAGCGAGCTTGGACTGGCTCTGTGCTGGCCCTCCCCTGGGCTGCGGCTGGAGAGCAGATTGGGAGTGAAGCCAAGCACAGCAGATAAAGAGGCAGCCTTGCACTGGGTGCTGGAGAGCCCAGTCCTGACAGCAGCCCGGAGCCAGGAAGGAAGGGGTGTGGCCAGACACTGAAGCAGCCGGTGTGCCAAGTTCTGTCCTGAGTTACCCTTTCCTCAACACCCCCGATCATGGGAAACATTCCTTCTACAATACATCCGCCCTCATGTTACAGAAGATGCAGGTGCAGAGAGGTAAGTTTGTGCACCCAAAGACACACAGCCCACATGTGATTTGGCTCATGTCCCCCGACTTCAGGGCCTGTGGTCCTTTTCCATTCAGGCTGCTCTGACTCAGGTGGCCCACAGGGAGGGATGCGAAGTCTCCTCGGGCCTCCAGCACAGCTGCAGGGCTGGGAGCTGCAAGTCTTCTTCCCACATGCAGCCTTTCTTAGCTGAGGGCGCACAGAGAGTTGAGCAGGCTTGTAAGAGCTGAGCACCTCAGAGGTGAATTTGTGCTGGAGAGACAAGGGGTGGGGGGTAGTTGCCTAAACTAGACAGGGCAAAGCACACTCAAGAGGGTGAGGGGGGCCCTCCCTGGTGACACAACGGGTTAAAGTGCTGCACTATGGGCACTATGAAGCGCTCCCCAGCCACTGCAGCCTGAGTTCCATCCCAGCCAGGGAGGTGACCCACAGGTGCAGCAGACCTCACCTGACCCCTGACCCGCAATGCCCCCTCCTCCCCCCACTGCCCTCAGCAGTGTATCTCAATAGATCTGCCTGTTCTGCTCCCCACTGTCTCTGTTGAATCCCACCCCCTGCACAACTGGCCTGGACCCCAGTTCTTGTAAGCAGATAAGTAAACCTTAAAAAATTTAGGGCCCTCCCTGGTGGTGCAGCGGGTTAAAGCACAGCACTGAGAAGCTAAAGCCACTTCGGCATGAGTTCGATTCCCGCCTGCCCCGGAGGTGACCACATGGCGTGGCAGACCTCTCCTGGCCCGCCCGCTGCTCCCCTCAGCAGTGTACTTCGTCGATCTGCCTGTTCTGCTCCCCACTCTGTCTCTGGTGAAGCCTCTCGCCACCCCTGAGCCTCTGGCCTGTACCCCAGTTCTGTATGCGCAAATAAAAAATAAATCTTCAAAAAAAAAACAAGGTGAGGGAGCAAGTGGGGGACTCAGCGAGGGGGTGTCAGGTGCCACACTGTAGCTTGTGGGGGCAGGAGCTGAGCGCTGAGGCCTTGGCGTCCACAGGGTCCCCCCTCCTGCCTTTAGCTGTGCCCCTCGCAGAGCTACCTGACACCCCATGCTTCCTCTCTCATCTTTCCAGAGCTGTTTTTTGGCGGCAGTTACTGTAGTTTAGGGGAAGAGCGTCTTGCAGATAGCAAGTATCAAAGTCTTGTAAGTCCCAGACTCCTTTGGCAAAGGGTGTCCCCCGTTTTTGCACATTTAGATGGTCAGCCCAGCTAGGGGAGGGGTCTTCTTTCTTCCTTTAGGATAGGGCAGTGCAGGCTAGGTCCCCACCTCCTGCCGGCTGGCTGGCTGCCTCCGGCCCCTGATGGCCTCAACCCATTGTCCCAACAAAAATAGAGAGAACAGCTTTGGAAAGTGACACTATGAATGGGGAGGGGCTGCTGGACCGTGACCAAACTAATGGGATGATCTCCCCACGCGGGGCCCTGGCTCAGCACCTGGGACAGCCACTCTATTAGGTGTGGGGGGCCCTTTACACATTCCTGGGACCCCCAGATCAGACTCCCAGCCATCCCTGTCCAGGCCCTGGATCCCCAGAGATGGGTTTAGGGGAGCAGATGACCCCCTCACCCCCTAGAACTTCTCTCTCATTCGATCAAAGTTTGGGAGAGAGTAAGGGGTGGGTCTAATGGGCTGGGAGAGGATTCTGGAGGCTGAGAAAGGGGCGGGCTTGACCCCCCAACTTTGCCCTGCTCTCATTGGCCCCTGCCCCCTCCTCTTTCCCCGCCCCAATTGTCTCGGTGTCTGGGTCCTGGCCCTGGGAGGAGGGGACAGTGAGGATGGGGGTGGGGAGGGGGCTCAATCTGAAAGCAGAGAGAGACCCAGCTCCAGGGAGGACAGAGCTAAGGACAGCAGCCCCCAGGCTCAACCCTAATTTTAGAACCCCAGGCCCCAGGCTCCCTAAACCAAGGCCAGCACCCCCACATTGAGCCCATTAGGTGTGGAGTGGGGAATGTCCACAGCCCATGAGTCCCCAGGCTGAAGGCAAGAGACCAGGGCTTCTCAGGAAGTAGCTGGGGCGGGAGGGGGGGGTTTGGGGGGGCTAGGCCTGGCCAAGACATGGGGCTGCTGCTCCTGCTGCTGCTGCTGCTGCTGCTGCTCCCAGACTCAGGTAAGTTTACCAGGTTGCAGGGGGTGGGGAGGGGGAGAGGCCGGGGAAGGCCAGGGGCAAGAGGTAGATGGGAAAAAAGGGGGAAAGATCTAGGAATGGAAATTTGGGGGACAAAATGGAGGTGGGAAGCACAGACACAGAGACCATAGGAACAGAAGTAGAGAAAGCCCTATGAAGGACTGGGGTGGGTGCGGGTGACAGGCAGAGCCTTTGGGTTTGGGATGGTGCTCTGGGGGGTGGGAGGGGAGGTCGGGGGTTGCCTGGACTTTGGCTATAGTCCTGGGGCTCTGCCAGCTAAGAGGAGCTGGGGTCACCCCGGGAGTAGTGAGGACAGGCTGGGCCAGCAGAGGGTCTTGGGAAGGCAGGACCTGAGAGCTCCCACAGCTGGCTCACCCACCCACGCCCCGCAAAGGCCACGCCAGTCCATCCACCACGCCTGCTGGGCAGGTCCCGCTGACCTTAGCGGGAGAGCGAGCTTCTTTACAGCGAGACGGTAGAGGACACATAGGCAGGTCACTTTGGCCTCTGCGGCCCTGAGCCATGTACTTGAGACCATGAGTGGGCAGGTCCCTATTTAGACGACCTGCGTGTGCCCAGGATGGGACCCGAGTCTAGAAGTGTCTATCTGATGTTCAGTCCAAGCGCATGTGTGTATGGATGAGCGCCTTCCTTCCCTCATCAGGGGCTGGGGTCTTGCAGTGGGAGGGGGAGGGGAGAGCCAGGAGTCCTGGGAAGCTGACCCTGTGGGCAGACAGGCAGATGGGCCGGTGGGGGGAGGGAGGGGACAACCCATTGTCCCCCAGGGAGCACAATGCCCATGCCTGGGCCCCTGACCTTGCCATTGTGCCTGCCCCGCCCCCTCGCCGTTGCCAGGGCCAGGCTGAAAGAGGCCATCAATCACCATAGCCCTCGGCCCACCAGGCCTGGTCTCCAGCGCCAGCCGGACAGCGGCCAGCTCTGGGCCTGCTCCTCAGACCACAGTCTCGCCTCCCTGATCCTTCGTCCCTTGAGACCCCCAGTTTTTCTCAAAGTAAAGTCCTATCTCCTGTCCCTTGCCCAGGCTGGGCAGGGAGCTAACACTGAGATGTGCTGGAGGGCCACATCCAAGCCACGTTGCCGTCCCCACAGGCTTGGCTGCCAGCTCCGAGCTGGCCTTCGTGCAGGAGCCGGGGGATGTGGTGGCCGTCTGGGAGCACCCGCTGGTGCTGCCCTGCCAGGTGGAGGGTGAGCCGCCAGTGTCCATCTCCTGGCAGCGGGATGGGCTGGCTCTAACCAATGACAGCAGCAGGGCCACCCTGATGCCCGACGGCTCCCTGCATCTGTCGGCCCTGCCTTCCCGCCGGAGCCTCTTGTTCCACACCCACGAGTACCACTGCGTGGCCCAGAATCGCTACGGGCGGCTGATGAGCCGACGGGCCCGGGTCCAGCTGGCAAGTAAGTACCCAGCTGCTCCTGGGGGTGGGAAGAGCATACAGGGCGCCCAGAGGACTCCATGGAGAGAAGCAGCATCTGTTCCCAGAGCACCCAGCAGTGCCAGCCTAGCCATGGACACAGCATGCCCATGCATGCACCCTGGCACTTTCAGGGGCTATGAAAAAATATCTTTAAAGCTAATTTTATTGATGCATCCAAGAACTGGGGTATAAGCCATAGGTGTATAGGGTGTGCGGAGGATTCACCGGAGATAGCGTGGGAATAGGACAAGCAGATCTACTGAAATGCACTGCTGAGGGGAGCAGCGGGCAAGACAGGAGAGGTCTGCAGCGCCATGTGGCTCAGCTCCAGGTTGGGGATTGAAATGTGTGCCACAGTGACTGGTGATAATTTGGTAGCGCTGAGACTTAACCCCTTGAGCCACCAAGGACCTGCCATGAAAATACATTAATGCTCGTTTCTTTAAAAACAGATAATAATGAATATATAATCATGAGTCCAGCCCAAATAAGGGCAAATAAGGATTTTATTTGTCCTCATAGCAATGCAATTATAAATACAATTTTGCATGTATTTTTTAAAAGATTTACTTACTTACACATACATGTAAGAACTGGGGTACAGGCCAGAGGTGCAGGGGGGTGAGAGGATCCACCAGAGACAGAGTGGGGAGTAGCACGGGCAGATCGATGAAGCACTCTGCTGAGGGGAGCCCAGGTGAGACAGGAGAGGCCTGCCACGCCATGTGGGTCAGCTCCAGGCTGCAGACAGCTTCACAGTGCTCCGCTTTAACCGGCTGTGCCATCAGGGAGGGCCCCAATTTTGCATGTACTTTTATGGAGGGAGGCAAAGTGTTTGTTTGTGACCCACAAAGGGGGCAGTTGTGGAGGGGGACATAGACACGGGGCTGCGGGGTTGCACAGTGAGGAGGTCAGCGGGATGGGCAGATGTGAGCACAGAGAAGGCAGCTGTGGCTCTGCGATACCCTTGCTAGGGCCAAAGAGCCAGCTCTGTGGTGCTCAGGTGATCCGGGTGTTCTAGGTCTTTCCCACTTCCACCAGCATCCGGAGTCTGTTGAGGTGGAGCCCGGGGGAGTCGCTCGCTTCCAGTGCCTGATCCGGGGGGTGCCTGAGCCCTCCATTTCCTGGGAGCACAATGGCACAGCCCTGAATACTGCCAACCACCGGTGAGCCCCAGGCAGGAGTGTGGCAGGGTGGCGGGCAGGGCCCAGGCACAGCCACAGACGCCTGACTTGCACCCTCAGGGTCACTCTGCTGCCTGGCGGCATTCTCCACATCACCAGCGTGAGCCCTGCCGACATGGGCACTTACCGCTGTGTGGCTCGCAACGTGGCCAACACGCGCCACAGCCAGGAAGCCCAGCTGACCCTGAGTGGTAAGTGGACCGGGAGGATCTGAAGGGGTGCCTGGCCAAGGAGGGCGAGGGAGGGCGTGCCCGGCTGAGGAGTGGCTGCGGTGGGTGTGCAGACACCGAGCAGAAACAGCCGTTTGGAGCAGCTGTTGCACAGGGGGCCCTGCTCCAGAGTCGGGGCCTGCGAGTTCGGTAGGACAGCAGCAGCCAGCTAGCTCTGTACTGGCTCCTGGGGAGAGGGGTGTTGTGGACCCCCGGGGCCTGCCTCTGACCCAGCCCTGGTGGGCCAGGATTGGGCAGGGGCCTCAGGAGTGAGCTGCACTGAGTCGTGCCATCCCCTGGTGCGGTAGCGCTAGGGTGAGAATCCTCGTTCATGCCTGAAGTTCCAAGTTGCTGAACCATAGCATGGGCAGAATTCAGAATAGTTGGACAGGTAGGCACGACCTCAGGAGAAAGAGCCTTGATCCGCGGTCCTGAGAGCGCCGGACGGGCTTAGAGTGGGGTTCTCAGAGCCAGCCCTTCTCCGGGCAACCGGAGGGCGGGCGTGTAGCTTTGTACTTGCAACACCCGGGAGGCCCCCAAGTGCAGGCCGAGTGGGGCGGTGGACATTGTGCCCAGAGGGAGGGTCGCCGCGCGGGCGCCTCCCGCCTCTCGGGGGACTGCAGGGTGGGAGACCCGCCCGGAGCCCGCCGAGAGCCGCAGGTGTCGGCAGGGCGTCGTGCCCGAGTCACCCACAAGGGGGCCCCACCGTATAAATAAGCGAGCAAACCCTGGGGAAGCGCGAAGGCGCCTCTGCAAACACTTTCAAAACATCTGACAAGTCACCAAAAAATCTTTAAAATGGGGGCTAAAAGGGGAAAGCGGGAGCAGTTTTGTCTCTGATCTCGACTCAGAAACTGGCAGCAAAGTGTGGGGATCCCCCCCCCCCCAGGAGCAGAGGGAAGGATCGCAGCCCTGGAGAGGGGAGGGGCCGGGGATGGGGGTGCTCCAACCGCCCTCTGCCTATTCCCAGCAACCATCTGGGCCTGGAGGGCAGGATGCCAGGCTCCCATGAAGCTCCATGCTCCTGGCCGGAGGCCGAGCTATGGGTCATCCTGTGGGCCGCAGAGTGGAAAGCATCAATGGCTTCGGTGGCCAGCGGGCTTCGGGAGGAGCAGCTGGCTGGGGCAGTGACTGTGGGCCTGCCAGGAGAGGAGCTGGGGTCAGCAGGCTCTTCTCCAGAGCCAGGAGTTGGCGCCCGAGACCCCAAAGCACGCATGAGGCAAGCAGGCCCCACCTGGTGAGGCACCAGGCAGGTGGGATCCCTGCCTTTGAGGCAGGGCCCAGCGGCAGGAGGGGGCGCCCTGCCAGCTGGCTGGTGCGGCCAAGATCTGGATCTCAGTTCCGTCTGCCAGCTCCTCTTAACCTCTGACTGCAGAAGTAAAAGTACTCACCTCACAGGTTGCAGTAAGGAGGAAGTGAGCCTCTCTGCTCTG